TTTCTGGGCAGGAAAGTCCGCTGTGTTGCCATCATGTCTCTGTTTCAATATCTCTTGTCATTAGAGGCTCTTTGCTTTTATGAGGGACAGAAGGGGACTAGCCACACCTGATGTCACCAGTATTCTTTGGGACTAGCTAGGTTTTTTGTTTTTGTTTTGTTTTTTTTCGAGCAAGAATAAATCAAGTGAGACTCAATCACTTGAAGTTTTGAAGACTCAAGGCAGACAGTGAAACTGTTCTCAATGGAGAAGATGAAACTCCTCCAATATTATTTATAGAATTTGATCGTCAGGTGTTTTCGAATCAGCTGAAATAATAATCATACATTTCTATTTGAAATCCAGCTTTTCAGTCAGTACTCACTTATCCATGATACAGTAAACATCTCTTTGCTCATTTCCTTTAGCTTATATGCTAAAACTCTTGTGATTATTTAAGGGTGAGCTTCTTAGTCTCAGCTAGATATGTGGCCCATGTTGTTATTAAATACCACTAATAAATTCAGTGACCTGGTTTTGAAGCCCTTGCCAAATAAGCTACAAATTAGAAGGGGGGTGGAATTGCTATCAGCAAGTACCTGGAGACAGTGCTAGCCTGACTGCAGTAAGGGGGAAGAGAAACTTAAAAAAATTTTAACTCAAAGCACAGTAGTTCCATCAATATTCAATGTCAGGACAAATAGCCTTATATTCAGTACAGCAGGACGCTGTATGTATTTTACAACATAAGACATATATCAGTGATGTATGTAAACCCTAAGTCATTAAACATACAAGATAACTGTTTACTGTTACCTGTTTAAGAAACAGGAGCAATTACATGACTTTTAGATAAGTCATAATGGTGCCCCTAAAGGGTATGCTCAGGTATTCTTGTGTACCCAGGAAACTTAACCTTCCAAACCAATTTATATACTAAGTGCTTGACCTGTGGGTGAGATTTAGATTGGTGTAAGATTTAATTTACTATATGTAAATATATTACTTGATTTATATAGAGTTTCTCCCTAGTGGAAGAGGTTATTCTGAGCTTGTTTTTTTTAACCAATATGAGCAATACCAGGTTAAGATTGTTAGTGATCTTCCTCAGAAGCATATATGGGATAATCACTATAGTTGTTAGTCTTAATGATTTTAATTTTGTTACCTTCTAGGCTACATGAAGATACCTTTTTTAAAAATTTACTTTTCACTTTCATTGTCCTAGTGCATTTAGTGTAAGAAAAATCACATAGCTCTAAAAAAGCAACAACACTTTTCCACCCCCCCAAGAGACAACCACTTTCAACTCTGCTGATTCTCATATTACTTACCTCCATATCATTAAATAATTTGCTTTATTTTGCTATGTGTTGGTTTTTCAATTTTAGGTATCATCTGGTGACTTGGTGGTGTGGAAAGTGAGGGTGTAGCTCTTTCACCAGTCTGATTCCCATGGACACACATACTCTTACTGTCTTACGGTTCTATCATAGTTACATTTAGGTTAGATCAGTATTTCTTACCTTATGGTTTTCTACAACTAGGCCATGTGGTTACTCTTTTTTTTTTCTGACATAACTTTTTGGGGGAGGGTTTTTTTTGTTTTTTGTTTTTTTTGTTTTTTCATTTGTATTTTGTACCTGATGCTCATTTTTCCCCAAACTCTCCTTCATTTGTAACAGCATCCTTTCAATATGTTTGGACTTGTTAGGTATTCATTCTTAGAGAGGTCTTCCGTTTTGATATGTTCTAGTTTGGACTGGTTTACATTCTAGATTTGCTGCCCAACCTGTTGGGTTGGTGTATCCTTTCACTGTCATATTGTGTTAATCTCCTAACTTCCTTCTTATCACCTCTACCTACCTACCTGAGAAAAAACAGGTGGGAGATAAATTTCTTGAGATCTTGCATGTCTCTTGTCACACTCAGATGATAGGTTAGCTACATACAGAGTTCCAGGTTGGGGATAACTTTTCCTTAGAATTATTTTGAAGGTATTGGCCCATTGTTTTCTGTCTTCTAAATGTTGTTGAGAAGTGCAGTGCTATTATTATTTTTTTTAATTTTATTTATTTATTTGAGATAGCACAAGCCAGGGGACAGAAGGAGAGGGAGAAGCAGGCTCCCCAGTAAGCAGGGAGCCTGGATCATGACCTGAGCTGAAGGCAGACTCTTGACTGAGCCACCCAGGCGCCTCTGCAGTGCTATTCTGATTCTTAATTTTTTTGTATGTGTCCATTCCTCTAACTCCCACCCCAGACCTATTAAGATCCTCTCTATCTATGTAATGTTTTGAGATTTTACCGAGATGCACTTGGAAATGGGTCATCCATTGTGCTGGGTACTTTAAACTTTTAAGTATGGAAAATCAAGTTCTTCAGTTCTGGAAAATTTTCTTTTCTTAATTGTGTATTCCCACAGCTTCTCTTTCTGAAAATTAAGTTATTTGGATGTTGGACTTACTGGGTTAGTCTCCTGATAGTCTATATTTACTTTGTTTTCCACCTTTATCCTTCCTTCTGGGACATTTCCTAAACTTTTTTTTTCTAACCTGGTTTCCTTTTTTTCTGCTGTCATTATTATTATTTTTTTAATGTCCAAAAGCTTTTTAAAAATGTTCCTTTAATATCTTTCATATTAAAGACCTTTTCAAATTCTTGGTTGTCTGCTCTTCTTAGAGAGTGGGGCCCAAAAAGTGGATTGAAGATCTGTTTGGGGTTGGGCTCACTAAACGTGGGCCTCTCTCCTGTGATCTGGCTGAGCTATCATATTGTTACATAGGAACATATTTCTGTCGTTATATAATTGTTTACATAGGAAATCCCTGATATTAGTATTTTTAGGTCTTTTATATAGGTAAGATTCCCTCAAGAAGGCTTGTATACCCTCTTAGGGATACAAGGCCAGCTGGCAGATTTCTGGGAGTAAGGTGGGGCAAGAAGGCTTCAAGCTTCAGCCTTCAGTACATAAACTTAATACCTTTGTTTTCAGTAAGGTTACCAAGCCTTTAACTGTGCCTGATACTCTCCAGTTAGGATTGGGTTTACCCTCTGAAGTCTTGTACCAGCTTTGGGGAGGAGCAGTTCATTGGGTACACAAAGGAGGGAGACGTTCGAAGGTTCTTTAGGCTTCTTACATAGTCTTTCAACCTATCCTCTTTTTAGCCCCACCTTCATCTCCATATTCAGTTACCTGAGTCACTAATCAAACTTGAGCCTTTTGGGAGTTCTGTGATATAAACCAAGTTGCTTTCCTTTCCTATTGATGGCTTTAAGATTCATCATTTAAGTTCTCATTTATCTGAAATTTTTCAATTTCCAAAATTTTGTTTTTCATATTCCATTCTTGTGGGCTATTGCCTTTTACAAATTTACTATTTTTTATTATTAAATCGTTATTTTAATATTTACTATTCTGGTAAGGTTTGAGAAGGGAAGAGAGGCTTTTGTGTGCACTGATTCTCTCACATGCCATCTTTAACTGGTGTTCTGCCTGAAATCTGTATACCTTATTCTTTATTCAGGCTAAGATACCTTCATTCCGCTCAGACACAGGAACTGTGCAGGCCCTCCTCTTCCTTTCTTCATATTCTTGCAGCACAGTGTGAAAATGAGAGAAAACGGAGTAAATGACCTGGAAAACTTACTTTATTACATGAAGCCTAGTGCTGACATCATGGTTAAAAACTTCTACAGTAAGCACTCTGAAGTGCTCTGGCCTTTTTTTTGGGTCCCTGACTTTGCTTTACAACAAATGTGTGCTTTTTTGATAATATGTACACTCATTTTACTCTCTTACTAGGATCACAATCAAGAGCTTTATACCCAAGATATGTGGCCCAATTTTAAGAACTGGAGAATGTAATGGAGATGATCTTGACTGCACCTTGAGTTCCCAGTCTAGTTCATTGTCAAAGGGGGAATACCTGTAGTTTTTCCACATTATTTTGTTCTCAAGCAAGTCCCTTTCCCCAGAATTTTCTTTCCCATTTAAACTGGTTACTCTGCGTTTAAAATCTGCATCGTAAAATGAGACCAAACAGTCCTTTGCCGCCACCTGTTTCTTACATACTAAGAATGAAAAAGCGGGTAGGACTCGGCTATGGAGGTGCTGTTCCCTCAAAAAGGTTGGGATAAGGTATGGTTTTGGAGCCTGGACACAAGACAGGGCAAAACTGGTTATCCTGACACGCTCTCACACTACAAAAGACTAGCTTGCTTCAGCTGGATGCCTTCCACCCACACCGCAGCACAGCCAGTCTTGCCAGTCTTTTTTGGGCGCTTCTCGCTCCCGCCACAAATTTCTTTCATTTTTCACAGGATCGGTTCGCCAACAGCTGTTCCTAGCTTTTCGGCTCTGAGCTGTACCGCATTTTAAAGTTTCAGAAGCAGCATTTCTGAGTACGATTCGCACAATGCTGCCAGGCCGCTGGGCAAGGGGCTCAGAGGGCCGGGCAGGGGGGTGTGCAGGTCCAGAAGCGGCGGGGAGGGCACACGAGAACCCCGCCGCCCACAAAGTGTGTGCCGGCGTCCGAGGGGGCTTCGGCTCCCCCCAGCAGCGCGAGGGCCGCCCGGCTGCGGGCCACGCGCCGGATACTGGCTCGCGCTCGGGCCCAGAGATCCTTGGCGCTCATGCGCTCGGAAGTTCTTAAACCTCTTCAGCCTGGCTCTCCCCTCCACTCCAAACTAACCGGGGCCTGGCCGGCTAACGCATCGGGGGCAAACTCTCGGCGCCGGCAGCGCGTTGTAGCCATCCTTCAAAGCGGCGGGACGAAGGGACGCGCGCTCTCCTGCTTTACGGCAAGGGTGCGCGGGTTTGCGACAGCGTGACGCCGGCAGAGTTTTGGCGGGAAAAGCGCTGCATTTGGATTCCTGTGGTGGCGGGCAAAGGACGACCTGGTGAGGAGGGGCGGCCGGTAGGGTGAGAAAGGAGCCTGTAGAAGGTGTTCGGGGTCTACATTAGTTGGGAGGGGCATGGCGAGAGAAAGTTATCGGTGACGAGCGAAGGAAATCGGAGAGACTCCCGCTGAGGGGGGGCGGTTTCGGAGGGTGGAGGAGTGTGGGACCGGGTGACCCCGTTGTGGGGGGATTGGAGAGACTACCCCTTTGCCGGCTGAGGACCCCAGAGGTTTGGGCGCCGGCCGTCTAGAGTGCCTGCCAACCCTTCCTTCCGCTTCTTGGGGCAGTTTGGCCCCGCCCCAGGCTCCTCCCGGCCTTTGGGACGGCGTGGGGTGGGTATTGGAGCTGAGCAAGGGGGAGGAGGGGCTGCAGGCGTCCTAGTTAAACTGTTCTTCTCCGCTAACTTGCAGCCCCTCGCCCGTCTCACCCCCTGCCCGTCCCCAGTCGTTCCCCTCCAAGCATTTATGCCCTCAGCTGTTCAGCAGAGCTGCTGCCTTTTCTCAGAGGCCTGAGGAAGGCAGTTTCTGCTTCGTTCTCCGTGGGAATGGGGATGGTGATTTACACCACAGAATGCCAGAATTTAGAATACTTGCTTGTGGTTCAAAGCCTTGGATAAAATACGGGTGAGGTGTAAGGGGAAACCAAACTGTTACTTATATTGAGGGATCATGGCAGATGGTGGAAGCTTATCCTCACCCCCATCTTTTCTGGGTTCCTGCCTTTTATAGCCGTGGTCCATCGTGGAGTCATGGCAGTGCCCTTTGTGGAAGACTGGGACTTGGTGCAAACCCTGGGAGAAGGTGCCTATGGAGAGTGAGTTCGAGTCCCTTTACCCTGCCTTCACACTTGCTTTAGTTTTCTGTCTGTTGTCTTGAGTACGTATTTGTTGTTTTGGAATTGTTTATTCTAGTACAGTGGCACCTCAGAGAACAGATCTTTGCGTTTGAAGTCTTAAGATTTTTGGGAACTAGAGCCGCACTTTTGTAAGGATTAATCCCCTCCCCCCCCTTTTTAAAAAAAAACATTTTCTCTGTAAAGAGCTGGAAGAAACCTGTGAAGTCAATTTCTCCTCCCACATATTCCTTGCTGGGGTTTGAGCATAGTGGTTAAATGAGCAAATGAACAGACTCTGAGTCAGACTGCCTGGTTTCAGATCTTCACTTACCACACTGGTTTGTGTTCTTAGGCAAACTTCTTCATGTGTGCCTCTGTTTCCTCAGCTCTAAGGTGACAATAATAGTACCTACCCCTTAGAACAGTTACCACAGACATATGTAGTATGAGGTTAATAAATCTTAGGTAGTGTTACTAAAATTAAATGAATAGAGCATGTGTATATGTGATGTGGCATGGAATTACTGTTACTCCATTTTAGCTTATTTTGTCAAGTATTAAATAACCTTTGGATGTACAACATAATGACTTCTTTAGAGCATTATTCATCATACTTCACATTTCAGAAAGGAGTAGTATCTGCTGAGAACATGGCAGAAACTATTTCCTTGGTTTCTGCTGGGTAGAGAAAGTAATGAAGGTAAAATTGTTGATTGAGTCATAGTTAATCTTTTGAAGTTTTCAAAGAAATAGAATTCAGTTGTCTTCTTTTTCCTTTTTAGGGTTCAACTTGCTGTGAATAGAAGAACTGAAGAAGCAGTTGCAGTCAAGATTGTAGACATGAAGCGTGCCATAGACTGTCCAGAAAATATTAAGAAAGAGATCTGTATCAATAAAATGTTAAATCATGAGAATGTAGTGAAATTCTATGGTCACAGGAGAGAAGGCAATATCCAGTATCTATTTCTGGAGTACTGTAGTGGAGGAGAACTTTTTGACAGAATTGGTATGGAAATAAGCTTTAAGATAACTGTTCTACTAAATAAGTTTCTAAATTTATTTTTTAATCTTGGGTCTGCTATTTGGTCATTGTCCGTTCAGAACTGCTTATACAACAGTGAAATTGGAGTAAGTTTTCTTGTTTTTACAAGTTATGTTAACACATTAAAGCATATATGGAATCATCAAGGAAAACCTTTTCCCCAAATTGTGTATGTGATTTTGGTTAGGATTGCTGTTTTGTAGAGTTTAAGGATGATAAACTAATCTTACAGTGAAGTATCATTAGTGCAATGCATACTCACTATACAGTGATTTTTCTTTATAGACATTCCAGTTACATGAAATCATTACATACATTTACAGAGCCAAAATAATAGCATGTTATATTTTTTCTTTATTTATTTAGGTGAAATTAACTTGAGAATTTTCTAGAATTGCTTTGCCTGTATTTAGTAAATTCTGTACTTGCTACTTTAGTGTTCTATGTAGATTCAAAGGCTTGGTATTGCAGGACACTGAGAAGTACATAAGAATAATATTATGTGGATCTAAATTTATTATTTAAAGCTGTTGTGTTCATATTTAAAAAATGATTTTAGAATCTCCAGTATGTATCTCAGGAGAGGAGAGTTCAGTGTAAAAGAAACCAAGAGGTAAAGAGGGAGATCAAAATTTAAATATTTAGTGAAATTCGTTTATATTTGCCCAGGCATACACTTTGGCAATTACATTTCAGGGATGGGGAAAATATTGTCAGCATTTGTTAGAAATTAGGGGAGAATTTGAAAGACACCAATTGAATGATGGTTAGTGTATGATAAGCATAAGTTTTCAAGGTATGGCTTCCATTCTTGATTTGGGTAGTAGTTTGTTGTTTCTCTCTGTAACTTTCCTGTGATGTTAATTTATTTTTGCCACATAACAGATGGGGAAATGTGAGTTATTAAATATTGTACGAGTTAGTGGACACCAGAGTCTTAATTGTTACCATAAGATTCTGTTTGCCAGAGTACCATCACAAAAGTCTAACCTTTGAATTAGGAGACTGTGTGGTTGATACCTTATTATGTTTACCTGGCAAACTAACTTTCATTATTAATTCTTACAGAACCAGACATAGGCATGCCTGAACAAGATGCTCAGAGGTTTTTCCATCAACTCATGGCAGGGGTGGTAGGTACAGTTGTCTCTTTTCCTTTTGCTTAAAATTATTATGAATGAAGTAAGTTACCAAATTTTGGTATGTTTCCTTCTGTTTCTTTTTTAGGTTTATCTGCATGGTATTGGGATAACTCATAGGGATATTAAGCCAGAAAATCTCCTATTGGATGAAAGGGGTAAGTTGAGCTTTTTGTCACTACTGCCTAAATTATTTTATTTTAATTTTTTTAAAGATTTTATTTCTTAGCTAGAGAGAGAGAAAACAAGCAGGGGGAGCAGCAGGCAGAGGGAGAAGCAGGCTCCCCACTGAGCAAGGAGCCCGATGCAGGACTCCATCCCAGGACCCTGGGATCATGACCTGAGCCAAAGGCAGCTGCTTAATTGACTGAGCCACCCAGACGTCCCTGCCTAAATTATTTTAATCCATACAAGGCAGGTTCAAAGCTTTTGCATTATTGAAATTTTAGGGCAGAAAATCTGAAAAGTCTAGGAAGTTTGAGAGACTCCATATATTTAGACTTCACAAGTCCTTCCTGATATAGTTGTGGATGAGATAGAGAAATCTAACCTAGATGCTCACTAAATGAATAGCTGTATGAATAGTCTTAAACGACTTTTCAATGAATTAAAGTTTCTGTTGGAATACCCTGGACTTTAGCCTTATCTTGTTTTATTTAATTAGGTAGGTAGGTAGTTTGTTTCAAGTTTTTTTTTAAGATTTATTTATTTGAGAGAGAGAGAATGAGAGACGGATAGCAACAGAGGGAAGAGGGTCAGAGGGAGAAGCAGACCCCCCGCTGAGCAGGGAGCCCGATGTGGGACTCGGTCCCGGGACTTGAGGATCATGACCTGAGCTGAAGGCAGTCGCTTAACCAACTGAGCCACCCAGGCGCCCGTAATATTAGTTTCAGGAGTAGAATTTAGTGATTCATCATTTACATATGACACCCAGTGCTCATCACAAGTGCCCTCCTTAATACCCATCCCATTTAACCCATACCCCCGCCCACCTCCCCTCCAGCAACCCTGTTTATTCTCTATAGTTAAGAGTCTCTTTTATGGTTTGCCTCTCTCCCCGCCTCCATGTTCATCTGTTTCGTTTCTTAAATTCCACATATGAGTGAAATCATATGGCATTTGTCTGACTGACTTACTTCTCTTCGCATAATACTCTCTAGCTCTATCCACCTCATTGCAAATGGCAAGATTTCATTCTTTTTTATGGCTGAATAATATTCCATTATATTCCGCAACTTATTTATCCATCAGCCGGTGGACACCTGGGCTCTTTCCATAATCTGGCTATTGTTAATAATGCTGCTGTCAACAACAGGGTGTATGTGTCCTTTCAAATCGGTGTTTTTGTATTCTTTGGGTAAATACCTAGTAGTGCAGTTGCTGGGTCGTAGGGTAGTTCTGTTTTTCTGTTTTAAGATTTTATTTATTTGAGAGAGAGCGAGTGAGTGACAGTGTGTGTGGGGGGGTTGGGAGAGGGGCAAGCCGACTCCATGCTGAGCGCAGAGTCCGACTTGGGGCTTGATCTCAGGACCCTGAGATCATGACCTGAGTGGAAATCAAGAGTGGGAGGCTTAACCATCTGCACCACCCAGGAACCCCAGGGCAGTTCTATTTTTAACTTTTTGAGGAATCTTTGTATTGTTTTCCAGAGTGGCTGCAACCAGTTTGCATTCCCACCAACAGTGCAAGGGGATTCCCCTTTCTCTGCATCCTCACCAGTATCTGTTGTTTCCTGTGTTGTTGACTGGTGTGAGGTGATACCTCATTGTAGTTTTGATTTGCATTTCCCTGATGATGACTGATGTTGAGCACTTTTTGAGTGTCTGTTAGCCATCTGTATGTCTTTGGAAAAATGTCTATCCATATCTTCTGCCCATTTCCTAACTGGATTATTTGTTTATTGGGTGATGAGTTTGGTAAGTTCTTTATAGATCTTGGATACTAACCCTTTATCAGATATGTCATTTGCAAATATCTTCTCCCATTCCAAAGGTTGCTGTTTAGTTTTGCTGATTGTTCCCATTGCTGTGAAGAAGCTTTTTATCTTGATGAAATCCTAATAGTTCATTTTTGCTTTTGTTTCCCTTGCCTCCAGAGACGTGTCTAGTAAGAAGTTGCTACTGTCGATGTCAAAGAGCTTGCTGCCTGTGTCCCTCTCTAGGATTTTGAGGGTTTCCTATATCATGTTTAGGTCTTTCATCTATTTTTTTTTTTAGATTTTATTTATTTTTTTGACACAGAGAGAGAGAGCGGGTGCGCACGAGCACAAGCAGGTAGAGCAGCAGGCAGAGGGAAAAGGAAAGGCAGGCTCCCCATTGAGCAGAGAGCCCGACGTGGGGCTCGATCCCAGGACCCTGGGATCATGACCTGAGCCGAAGGCAGATGCTTAACGACTGAGCCACCCAGGCGCCCCTGCTCTTTCATCTATTTTGAATTTGTTTTTGTGTATAGGGTAAGAAAGTAGTCTATGTGCATTCTTTTTTTTTTAATTTAAGAGAGGGAGAGAGTGTGAAGTGGGGAGGCAGACAGAGGGAGAGAGAAACTCAAGTGGACTCCATACTGAGTATGGAATCTCATGACCTGAGCTGAAACCAAGAGTTGGATGTTCAATGGACTGTGCCACCCAGGCATCCCTAGTTTCATTCTTTTTTAAGATTATTTATTTATTTATTTGACAGAGACACAGCGAGAGAGGGAACACAAGCAGGGGGAGTGGGAGAAGGAGAAGCAGACTTCCGCTGAGCAAGGAGCCCGATGCGGGGCTCGATGCGGGGCTCGATCCCGGGACCCTGGGCTCATGGCCTGAGCCGAAGGCAGACTCTTAACGACTGAGCCACCCAGCCCCCCCCCCCTTTTTTAAGATTTTATTTATTTGACAGAGACAGCGAGAGAGGGAACACAAGCAGAGGGAGTGGGAGAAGGAGAAGCAGACTTCCGCTGAGCAAGGAGCCCTATGCGGGGCTCGATCCCAGGACTCTGGGATCATGACTTGAGCTGAAGGCAGACGCTTAACGACTGAGCCACCCAGGCGCCCCCCCTAGTTTCATTCTTTTGCATGTTGCTGTCCAGTTTTCCCAACACCATTTCTTGAAGAGACCGTCTTTTTTCCATTGGTTATTCTTTCCTGCTTGTTGAAGATTAGTTGACCAGGTAGTTGTGGGTCCATTTCTAAATTTTCTATTCTGTTCCATTGATTTATGTATCTGTTTTTGTGCCAGTACATACTGTCTTAATGATTACAGCTTTGTCATACGGCTTAAAGTCGAGAATTGTGATGCCTCCAGCTTTTCTTTTCTTTTTCAAGATTGATTTGGCTATTTGGGGTCTTTTGTGGTTCCATACAAATTTTAGGATTGTTTATTCTAGCTCTGTGAAAAATGCTGGTGGTATTTTGATAGGGATTGCATTAAATGTGTAGATTGCTTTAGATAGTATAGACATTTTAACAATATTTGTTCTTCCAGTCCATGAGCGTGGAATGGTTTTCCATTTCTTCATGTCCTCTTCAATTTCTTTCTTAAGTGTTCTGTAGTTTTCAGAGTACAGATCTTTTACCTCTTCAGTTTTATTCCTAGATATCTTACGGTTTTTGGTACAATCGATTCCTTGATTTCTCTTTCTGCTGCTGCTTTATTGGTGTATAGAAATCCAACAGATTTCTATCTTTCTTTTTTTTTTTTAAATCATAATACATTTATTTCACTTACATCAACCTGATACATGTGTTTTTAACAATTTGCTTGGATTGTTCATGAAGATTTTTTTTTTTTTATTAACATATAATGTATTATTTGTTTCAGAGGTACAGGTCTGTGATTCATCAGTCTTAACACAATTCATAGCGCTCACCATAGCACATACCCTCCCCAATGTCCATCACCCAGCCACCCCATCCGTCCGACCCCTTTCCCCTCCAGCAACCCCCAGTTTGTTTCCTGAGATTAAGAGTCTCTTGTGGTTTGTCTCCCTCTCTGGTTTCATCTTGTTTCATTTTTTCCTCTCTTCCCCTATGATCCTCTGTCTTGTTTCTCAAATTCCTCATATCAGTGAGATCATATGATAATTGTCTTTCTCTGATTGACTTATTTCGCTTGGCATAATACCCTCTAATTCCATCCATGTCGTTGCAAATGGCAAGATTTCATTTTTTTTTTTTTTTTAAAGATTTTATTTATTTGACAGAGAGAGTACAGATAGGTAGAGCGGCAGGCAGAGGGAGAGGGAGAAGTAGGCTCTCCATGGAGCAGGGAGCCCGACGCAGGGCTCGATCCCAGAACCCTGGGATCATGACCTGAGCTGAAGGCAGCCACTTAACCGACTGAACCACCCAAGGCGCCCCAAGATTTCTTTTTTTTTTTTTTAATTATTTGAGAGAGAGAATGAGACAGAGAGAGCATGAGAGGGGGGAGGGTCAGAGAGAGAAGCAGACTCCCTGCCGAGCAGGGAGCCTGACATGGGACTCGATCCCGGGACTCCAGGATCATGACCTGAGCCGAAGGCAGTCGCTTAACCAATCGAGCCACCCAGCCGCCCAAGATTTCATTTTTGATGGCTATTCCGTTGTAGATATATGTACCACATCTTCTTTATGCATTCATCTGTTGATGGACATCTAGGCTCTTTCCACAGTTTGGTTATTGTGGACATTGCTGCTATAAACATTGGGGTGCACGTGCCCCTTTGGATCACTACATTTTTTTAAAAATTTTTTTATTGTTATGTTAATCCCCATACATTACATCATTAGTTTTAGATGTAGTGTTCCATGATTCATTGTTTGTGCATAACACCCAGTGCTCCATGCAGAACGTGCCCTCCTCAATACCCATCAGCAGGCTAACCCATCCTCCTACCCCCCTCCCCTCTAGAACCCTCAGTTTGTTTTTCAGAGTCCATCGTCTCTCATGGTTCGTCTCCCCCTCCGATTTCCCCCCTTCTTTCTTCCCCTCCTGCTACCTTCTTTTTTTTTTTTTTCCTTAACATATATTGCATTATTTATTTCAGAGGTACAGTTCTGAGATTCAACAGTCTTGCACAATTCACAGTGCTTACCAGAGCACATGCCCTCCCCAGTGTCTATCACCCAGTCACCCCATCCCTCCCACCCCACCCTCCACTCTAGCAACCCTCAGTTTGAGATTAAGAATTCCTCATATCA